ATAGGAAAATATTAATTCAATGCTTTCCTATGGGGGGCCTAAGGCGCCCGCCATTCATGCATATTATGTACACCCTTCTGATGCCACCAGAGGAGGTGGAGTGCCGACCTAGCACCGATGGACATCTGTGCTGGAATCAGGTAAGTGTTAACATGGTTTTTAAACCTTTCAGCGCTACAGAGGGGGAGAGCGCGAGGGCTCTATAGTGTTAGAAATACAACTTTATATTCCTAACACCAGAGAATCCCTTTAAGAAATAGCTAACCACAATTATGTCTTTCTCTTTTCTTATTAAATGCATCAGTGAGCAATCTTAAGATAATTTGTTCCTTCCCCTTGAATGTCTACTGCAGGAACTGTTATATTCACTCCTGTTCCTTACAGATCGTGCAGGAAAATAGTACATCAAATTGGAGAGACTTTTATTGGCAACAATGAAACATGAAAGTCTTATTTAAATCAGACAGTCTGTATCAGAAACTGATTTTGAACAAATAAATGAAAAGAAAGAAAGCAGTCTTTGCTAAATAAAATAGATTGCTGCACCTTATAGATTAATTAGTTAATTAGTAGCGCGCCAAGCATAATTTAACGGCCATCATTATATGTATCATTAAATACTTCTCTGATTTTACTATTGTGGGTAACTCAAGGTGAAAAAGAAAAGGTTGGGCATCCAATTAATAAGCACTTGTTAGACACTGATACATTGTATCCTCTCCACAGTATGTTTAATAAAATTCCCGTTTACTACTGCTTATGTTAGGATACATGTATATTTAGTGTCTTTTATATTCATACAGGCTTTCCCTGTAGTAACCTTTTCAATTTTGGACATATCTATAGGTATACCCCCTTGCATTAATTGGTGTTCTTTTCTAATTACCAGGTAGATTGGGAGCCCCCCCTCTCTTTTTAAAGGGGAGCTACCCAATTAATATTTTTTTTCTTTGTAATTTTTTGGGCATCCAATTCTACCTGTAAATTTAAGAATTATTTTATTATTCTAATAATGTTTTGTTTAATATCTTTAAGTAGCTTACAGTCAGGGCCGGTGCAAGGATTTTTGCCACCCTAGGCAAAAGTAAAGTTTGCCGCCCCATGTGACATCACAATGCTCCACCCATATGATCTGCCATGTTAACTAACACCAGTGCTGCAGTGCCGCCGTGTTTACATTAAAAGGCATGCAGGGACAGGCTATAGACACCAGAACCACTACATTAAGCTGAAGTGGTTCTGGGGACTATAGTATTTCTTTAATGTGAGGTAAATTAGAGATTAGTGCCATGAATAATATACTAGATTGCCTACTTACAACCAGATGAGGATGATGATGGGCTCTAGCTGCAGTCTGGCTCCACTGGTCTGGTGTAGAACAGGCTCTCTGGAGGCTGTTTGTAACTGTGGTCACAAAAATCAATGTTCTGGGAGAACGGGAAGCAGCTCCATTTTTTGGGGGCCCTTTACACAGCTCAAGGTCTGGGTCCCAGGGTCCACCTTCATGTTCCACCAATGAGTTTGTTCACAGGGGGTGGAGTGTGTAGGGGGTGTCCTGATATGTGTGTAAGGAATGCATTGTGTGAATCTGTGTTTGTATGTGTAAGGGCTGCAAGGTGTGTTTCTGTGTATGTACAGGATGCAGTGTGTGCGTGTGTAAGGGGTGCATTGAGTGTGTGTAAGGGGTGCATTGAGTGTGTGTAAGGAATGCATTGTGTGTTTGTGTGTGTGTAAGGGATGCATTGTGTGTAAGGGTTGCATTGTTTGTGTGTGTGTGTGTGTGTGTGTGTCTGTGTGTGTAATGCATTGTGTGTTTTTCTGTGTGCAAGGGGTGCATTGCATGTGTGTGTGATGGATGTCAATCTCTCCCCCCTCCCTTGTCACTCTCTTCTCCCCCCTCTCCCTCCCTTGTCACTCTCTTCTCCCCCCTCTCCCTTGTCACTCTCTTCTCCCCTCCCCCTTCCCACTCTCATTGCCCCTCCCTCCCCTGTCACTCTCACCCCGTCAATTTCTTCTCCCCCCACCAATTTCTTCCCCCCCTGTCAATTTCTTCTTCTCCCCCCTTACCAATTTCTTCTTCTACCCCTCCCAATTTCTTCTCCCCCCTACCAATTTCTTCTTCTCCCCCCTCCCCTACCAATTTCTTCTTTTCCCCCTCCCCTGCCAATTTCTTCTCCCACCCTCCCAATTTCTTCTCCCCCCTCCCCTGACAATTTCTTCTTCTCCCTCCTCCCCATTTCTTCTCCACCCTCCCCTACCAATTTCTTCTTCTCCTCCCTTCCCTACCAATTTCTTCTTCTTCTCCCTCCCCATTTCTTCTCCCCCCTCACCTACCAATTTCTTCTTCTCCCACCCTCCCCATTTCTTCTCCCCCCTCCCCTCCCCATTTCTTCTTCTCCCCCCTCCCACCAATTTCTTCTCCCCCCTCCCCTCCCCATTTCTTCTTCTACCCCCTCCCTTCCCAATTTCTTCTTCTCCCCCTCATATATATTAGTGCAGTGTGCTGTTTTTTTAAGCATTCTAATTGAGCTATGCCATATTTCCAGTGGGTAATCCTCATTCATATCTTCTTCCCATTTCATCATCCCCTTAAATTTACTTTTGTCTTTTACATTTTATAGCGTTTTATTTATTCTAGATTGTTATTATCCTCTATATGTATTAATTTGTCTTATATAAACACACAAATTAATATGGAATCCCTGGGGGTCTTTTCGATCTAAACACCTCTCAGAAATTAGCCACTGGATATGATACTACTTCCCACTTTTTTTTTTTCTTTTTTTTTATGGTTGAGCTGGTCGAGAGAGAAGAGGAGAGAAAGGTATCTCTCTTGCCTCCCCCCTTTCTCTCGACTTCCTCCACTACACTTCGGAGCACTTGATATTAATTTTTCTACGTCTAGAATGTTTGACATTATTGTTTTAAATGTAAGGTCGCAATATGATCATTCTTTAGCCCGACAGTTTAAATATATATAGATAAGATCATAAAGGAACCACTGTACGTCATTTGTATATGTAGTATATGTATATTTGTATGTTCAAAATATGAAAATAAAAAATTATAATTGGAATAATTAGTTAACTAGTAGTAGGAAACACAAACAAAGTTCATAGCAGATTGTTCAAATCTAAGACAGTATCAGAAAATGGGGATTTGCCCAAAACTTGAGTCAAGTCAGAGATCCCTGCAGAAAGCAATTCCCTTATGGAAATACAAATATACAGACTGCAAAACTGTCTGGCTGTAGCTGAGTGTAAAGAAGAAAGTTCATTTAGCTTTTAGCAACTGAGTCGGAAAAGTCCAATGCAGAAATGCAGGAAACAAGGTGAGTGTAAGGATCCAAATTGTAGATTCTGAAGGAATTCTCAGTGAGGTAAGTGGAAAATCAGTTATCAGATTCTGAGACCTGAAAAATAAGTTAATAGAAACATGCAAGGCACAGGCGCATAAAAGGCCGGTGTCAGCTCAGATTTACTGGCAGGTCAGATTTAAATAGGCTGTTTATTGTGAGTGCGCCTGTGAACCTCAATGGAAAGAGCAGAATTATTTAAAGACATAATAACATTAAAATACATGTTCCTGACAGCAACTTTTGAACACCCCTTGTAAAAAAAGCCTGTACATAATTTCAAAAGTTGCACACATAAATTAGTGTTTTCTGTTCACGTCAAGTGTGATGTAAACACAACGCAATCATGCAATCAGTTTCAAAAGCAGAATGGTAGTAAGAAAGGTACTAATATTTGTCCAATTTTGGGTAGTTGGATCATATATACAAAAATGATCAGTTAATGTTCTTGTTCTAAAGAAGAGACCTGCCTGTATCATGATTCTAAGTAAATATGTTTAAGTAACATTTTGTCAGGATACTTTATGTGTTGGCACAGGCTGTGCCACACACTGGAGACGTCCTGCACACGGAGGGGGACCTTTCCCTAAGTCCCTCTCTTCTATTCAGCGTTTCTCACGCCAGCCTTGATAGCCCCGTCCCTTTTCATTGACGCGCCATGTTCGCGCCAACGTCATGATGCTAATGGCGATTAATGGAAATATATGCTTCCCAAAATAGTTGTGGGACTATTTGGACGTGGGAGGGGGCAATAATAGGGTTCAGAATTATGATGTGAAGACCATTTACCTTGAAAGCTTTTAGATGAAAACACTTCTAACACCTATGGAAATATCTGAATAGTTGACTGTTTTGGGAGATGGATGGGGGAGAGGGGTGGGGGGCAATAAGATAGTTCAGAACTACAATGTTAAGACCATCTACTTTTAAAGCTTTAAGATTAAAACTCCACCATCCAGAACATACTGGATTAAAGGGAATAGCGAAAAATCAGGCGGGAATCATTATAAATCTGCAATTTCTGTGACGATTCTTTAAAATTTCTGGTTTGCTTGATAAATAATAAATAATTCTGAATAAAAGCATGGTTGCAAACACCACAAATCAGTCCTGGAAACTTGAAGTATGGGAATGCATTGAAATAAAATAGTATATATTATGTAATATTTAATATAAATATATTAATCAAAGTCATCTAACCATCTGTGTGTATATTTTTCATCTTTCTGTGTATCACCTTATTTATTATTATGAATTAATCATATAATTATTATATTATGTGTCTGTGTATTTAGCAGGTCTTTATCACCTGATTTATCTATTATTATAAATTAATAACAAATTTATTATTGATTAATTCTGTAATTATATTATTAATTGTATAATTATGATTCTATTATGTGTCTATGTATCATTGTGTCAGTGACACCATATTTTTGATTTGGCGCCATTTTAGAAGAGGCTGTTGCTAAGCAACCGGCTCTGGTCTGACAGGTTCTTGTTCGAATCTAGCGGGAAGCCGAGCCCACTGGCACGCGGGGGGGGGGGAGCCAGGGCGGAAGTGCGTCACCGGCCGCTGCTGGCGGAAGCGCCGAGTCAGGATGGTAAGGGCGGAAAGATCCGAGTCCAGCCGCGCTCTGTGTGCCGGAAATGACGACAGAGTGTCAACATGCAAGATGGCAGCTCATCACAGGCAGAACACGGCCGGGCGGAGGAAAGTTCAGGTAGTGGCGGGTAGCGGGTCTCCGGCGCGGGGCCCCCCATGGAGGGAGCGGGGTGCACGTGGTCCAGGGGGCGACCTGAGCGCCGGGTGCTAGGGCCACCAGGGTCTGGGCAATGGAGGATGGGGGCGGGGCCGAGCTGTCAAGGAGGGGACACGGGACACCTACCGGGTACTAACCGGCCACTTACCGGCCACTAACCGGGTACTTACCGGGTACTAACCGGCCACTTAACGGGTACTAACCGGCCACTTACCGGGTACTAACCGGCCACTTACCGGGTGCTAACCGGCCACTTACCGGGTGCTAACCGGCCACTTACCGGGTGCTAACCGGCCACTTACCGGGTGCTAACCGGCCACTTACCGGGTGCTAACCGGCCACTTACCGGGTGCTAACCGGCCACTTACCGGGTGCTAACCGGCCACTTACCGGGTGCTAACCGGCCACTTACCTCTCGTGGGGACATGGGCTACTAACAGGCTACTTACCTCTGGTGGGGACACGGGCTACTAACCCACTACTAACCAGCTACTTACTGGGTACTAACCGGCTACTTGCCTCTGGTGGGGCCACGGGCCACTTACCGGCTACTTACCTCTGGTGGGGCCACGGGCCACTTACCGGCTACTTACCTCTGGTGGGGACACGGGCCACTAACCGGCTACTTACCTCTGGTGGGGACACGGGACACTTACCGGCTACTTACCTCTGGTGGGGACACGGGACACTTACCGGCTACTTACCTCTGGTGGGGACACGGGACACTTACCGGCTACTTACCTCTGGTGGGGACACTTACCGGCTACTTACCTCTGGTGGGGACACGGGACACTTACCGGCCACTTACCGGGTACATGGGCTACTAACAGGCTACTTACCTCTGGTGGGGACACGGGCTACTAACCCACTACTAACCGGCTACTTACCGGGTACTAACCGGCTACTTACCTCTGGTGGGGACACGGGCTACTAACCCACTACTAACCGGCTACTTATCGGGTACTAACCGGCTACTTACCTGTGGTGGGGCCACTAATCCGCTACTAACCGGCTACTTGCCTCTGGTGGGGCCACGGGCCACTTACCGGCTACTTGCCTCTGGTGGGGACACTTACCGGCTACTTGCCTCTGGTGGGGCCACTTACCGGCTACTTGCCTCTGGTGGGGACACTTACCGGCTACTTGCCTCTGGTGGGGACACTTACCGGCTACTTGCCTCTGGTGGGGACACTTACCGGCTACTTGCCTCTGGTGGGGACACTTACCGGCTACTTGCCTCTGGTGGGGACACTTACCGGCTACTTGCCTCTGGTGGGGCCACGGGACACTTACCGGCTACTAACCGGCTACTTACCTCTGGTGGGGCCACTTACCGGCTACTTATCTCTGGTGGGGACACGGGACACTTACCGGCTACTTATCTCTGGTGGGGACATGGGCTGAACACAGGGGTTGAGGGCTCAATGAGCTTACATTCTAGAGGGCGTGGGGTAAAGTGACACAAAGGGTAAAAGTAGGGGTACGAAGTAGGTTATCAGAAAAGTATACACTGCCCCTCTATTAGTTCCTATTTCACGGACGTCTGTCATACCACTACACAACCTTCGGCACTCCAGATATTGTAGACCACATCTCCCACAATGCTCTTACAGCCATAATGCTGGCAAAGCATCATGGGAGGTGTAGTCCAAAACATCCGCAGTGCTGAAGGTTGCCTATCCCTGCTCTAGTAGCTGTCCGTGTGTGTGTGCGCTCGCGTAAGAGCCTGTCAGAGTGTGCGCGCGTAAGAGCCTGTCAGAGTGTGCGCGCGTAAGAGCCTGTCAGAGTGTGCGCGCGTAAGAGCCTGTCAGAGTGTGCGCGCGTAAGAGCCTGTCAGAGTGTGCGCGCGTAAGAGCCTGTCAGAGTGTGCGCGCGTAAGAGCCTGTCAGAGTGTGCGCGTATGTTTAGGTACCTGTTCCCTCCGATCGCATGAGGAAGGTTTTTACTCACCTTTTTTCCCACGACGTGCCAGTTTTGCTGTGGCTGGGGCCGCTTCAATGGCTGAGATTATCAGTCTTTATGATCTCCGCTAAGCCAATACCTGTACTTTGCAAAGTATTGGGAGCAAAACACTGTGCTGTGCAAATCAGCAGCTCCTCATTAAAATGCATTGAATTAATGAATCTCTATGAGGAACATTCAGCGCCTCCATGCAGAGCTTTGAGATGCTGAATGTGGGTGCTGACACTGTGCAGTAGTGACCCAGGACTCTTGGACTCTCTAGTGGCCGTCTGAGTGACTGTCATTAGAAGTGTTACTAGCCAGCAATGTAAACACTGCCTTTTATCTGAAAATGTCATGTTTTCATTGAAAAGCTAGCAGGGACCAGAACATCTACATCAATCTGTAGTTGTTCTGGTGACTATAGTGTCCCTTTAAAAACTGTTTTTTTTTTGGTTTTTTTTCTCCTTTCAAATTAAACTTTTAGTTAAAAAAAAACAAAATGAAAAAGGGTCTCCTAACTTTTTTTTAGCTGGCTCCTAGATTCCAAACAAATTTGTCAAGCCCTGGGTTAAGTGCACATTACCTACTTTGCATTTTTGTTTATTGTCCTTACATCTAACCCAGTTGACCTGTTCATGACTTTGAAGTTTACCTTGTTTGACATTGAAAATGTGATTTTGCCCATTGCCAAACATGGAGCATGCAGTATGAATAGCGTTCTTTTGGCATACAAATGTTAGTCACTGTATAATATGGTTATTTTATGTTCTTTGCTACCAGAATCTTTTAATTTTATTTATTTATTTTGGAGTTTGCAAGGAACTTATATGAACTAGTAAAGCATTTGCTTTGGTGGAAAAATATTGTTTTAGAGGCAAAGGTACCCAGTAGTTCAGATCTTTAAAGCTTAGATTTCTGATCCCAGGTATATTGTGGATGTATTGGATATCCATTCTTCTTGTTAGTGTAATGAACATAGTTGTCATGTTGTGAATTTTTATTTCTACTTGAACAACTAAATTCTTGTAGATGATATTTATCAAAACAAACTGTTTTAAAACAAGGGGAAATAGTTCTGATTCGTTAACAGAAAGCTGAGACTGATTTTGCTTTCTTTCTGTTTGAAAAATAAATACAGAAACAAAAGCCCTTCATCAGATGCAGTTTTCTCCTGAGGGGTAATTAATCATGGCACTTGGGGCAAGAGCATTGCCGTGGGGTAACTCCACATTTATCATGACAGAATATTCTGACACTTTTTCCACTAACAAATACGATGTAATCAATTTTCCCCCAGAATTGTTCCAGATTCTGTAAGAACTAGACTTATTTTTCTATTTTTTTGGATGTGAGTTGTGAATCCCCGCTAGTCCTTTAAGGAGAATAGTCACACATAGTGAAATGTATAAAAATAAAGCCCTTTTTATTTGGTTTTTTTTGTTGTTGGTAGTGCTTTCACCATTATGCATCTGTTTTCAGTATTGTAATACTTTTATATCTGGATAGGGGGAATCTTGTTTTATTTCTAGCCAGGGTACATTGTATCTGTTTGGGGAGAATTTGTGGTCTGAAACTGCTGCTGGTTGACAGTGGGCACAGGTAAGCCAAGTGGAATAATCTTTGACTGTGGATGAGCATACATAGACATTAAGTGGTCCTCCGCAAACAAGAGTGACTTGACAAAGACATTTCTGGTGTTGAAACAATGTATTTTCACATATGATGGTATAATAAACCTCCATAACACCTTATCGCTGAGGATTGTTTATTGTCTTTATGTGAAGTATCTTCGGTGGACGAGGAACATTGTCTAGGGCTTAACCCGAAACAAGAATTCCTTGGACTGCCATACGGTTCTAGTCTAATTTCAGAAGAGCATATAGCCAGCTTTTACAACTCAGGCCTTGTTTAGCCTTTTATCCTTCCAACATCAATAAAATAACACCTATTAAACTTGGTTATAATACCTAGACCCCAGGAAGTACTTGCAAACAAGTGACAAGCTAAATGTTTGCAATAGAAATATACTTTGAAGGAGAGAAGAGTTTATAAGATTTCACTAAATTAAAATCCCTGTATTAAGGGATATAAATCCTGAAAAAGTTTATCTACTTTACTTTTTGCAAAAGGCAATGAACTCTATTAGACCATGTCAATCTATACATGAATTGGAGATCTGGTTAGGAACATGCCAAAGTTACTGTTTAATAAAAGAATAATTTGTGAGTGTTTCTCTTTCTACAAAGATTGCTTTGATTTAAAGCAACATTTAACCTGCCAGAATGTAGGCCACTGATCTCCTTCCTAATTAGATGCATTTTCCTTGATACATTCCCAGTGGTGTGCAGCTAGGTAGCAGGTGTGCTGTGTATTTTCACCCCAATGCACCTATAACACAGCACCTGCTGCTGTGAAAATTGTCTGGTAGGTGAGGTTCAGAATTTCCTTTCACAGAACACCTCACTGGTAGTTATACGGGCTCCAGAGGAATCCTCCAGGGCAATTACTGAACGCACAAGAATAACAAGTCAATACAGCAGTCTAACCTATTGTATACTACACTGTATAGAGACGAACAGCTGCTTATTGGGGCCTCTTTCACTAATATGAATTATGGCTGGATTTGATGCATGCTCTTTAGTGTTTCTCACCTTCCTGCCTGCTGTCAAGCCATCTAGTACCATGCTTCTAATTTATATTTTAAGATAATGTCTTTTCTCCTCTCTGACCTTAATAGTTCCTGACACTGCTAATCATAAAGTGTCTTACCAGGAAGGATGCACCGAGGCTTTCTCTTTGAGAATGTTCTGTGGTGTTACTACTCTGTTTAATGATTATCCATTCATCGATCCTTAAAGAATGAGGAGCTGAGTTTTGACCCTGCTGGGAATGTGGCACAAACTGGTTACTTTGTTCAGTAAACCAGATGTTGCAGAAAACTTACAAGGGGATAGTAAATAGGCCAAATCTCATATTTTTCAAATAGATATATATTATATATTATTTTTTTTTGGGGGGTGGGGGGGGGGGTTGTTATTTATCCACACTTGTTTTAATTACTACATTTTGCATTGTGCTTTGCGGCTGGTGCATTTACTACTGGAATAGGGCATAGTAACGCCCATCGAGAAAGTTTCTAAATAATTTGGAACCCTGAAGTGATGTAGGCAGTGTGACAGAAACCAGTATCTCTGATGTAACCAGCAGGCTGCCATTTTCAGTGGAAAGACAAAATAGAGGCATAATTAGAAGCTCGGGGGAGAAAAATGTAGGGGTCAGCAAATCTTTCTTTACAGCAGTACATAGAGGTAGTAGGTGCTTAGGATTGTTGAATCGTGATTTACAATGCATATTTTGCAGGTCTCTTATGTAATCCGAGATGAAGTGGAAAAGTATAATCGCAATGGCGTCAACGCTTTGCAACTCGATCCCGCCCTAAACAGACTCTTCACCGCTGGAAGGGATTCTATCATTCGGATATGGAGTGTCAATCAGCACAAGGTGAGTTTCTACATAAGAGAGCGTCCCAGAGTCCTCTTCCCTTACTAGTGACAAGTTCCATCATCTGTTTTGTGAAGTATAGACTAAACAAGTGTGACATTGAAACAGCGCCATCAGTAGGTGACGAGGAAAATCTGCAGAATATTTAAAGTCCGGTAGAAGGAGACTCTTCCCTTTCACTATACTAGCTTACCCTCAAAGCTGATATTTTTGTGGAAAATCCATAATGTAATATTATATAAATAAGCTGACCTTTCCATAAATTAGCCTAAACATTTGTAACATTGTTTTGTGTTAATAAAAACACAGACTTGATTAGAGCCACCCAAAATTAAAAATGTGCAGTCAATACCCCAACTATGAACCATATTATTTAATTACTTTAAAGAGACACTCCAAGCTCCCACGTGTAAGGTTACAGTAAGTTATGTGTATGGTGTTCTGGGAGCTCAGTTGTCGTTTTTTTACAATAGGAAGCTGACCATTGAACTGCAACTACCAGATACCCTTACTGTGCCCACAATGCACTGCACAAGGGGTATGTTCTGCAGTGGTTTACAAAGTTAATTGAGCATGATTGCTAGAGTCACGTCTCGGTTTCAGAGCTCACGATCAATCCTTTACAATCTAGGGATTTTCAGCAAAAGCAGGAAGTTCAATTATTGCTTTATTTTATCTAATGCTTTCTCTAAATAACATAGTAAAGAAATATAAATGATTCTCCATAATCTGTTTTTAGTTGTATTATGCTCTGTTAGGTAGGCTACCTAGAACATGGTGGTGCAACTAGCCTGTGGCGTGAAACTGCAGATTGCTCTGTAATACAGAAGTGGTTATAGCAGTTGGAGTAACCCTTTAAAGCAAATATTTAGATTGGTGTTCGTCTAATGCAGCCAGCAACCCATATATTTTCAAATGAATTAAACTGTTTAAAGAACTTTAAGCCAAGTTGTCATCGAATTGCATGAAGGTTGAACAGGATAAATCTGTTTTCAGTCTTTGCATTGTAATCATGATAAACTAATAATCTGCAAGTGTTACTCATGAAATGCATACAATGTGTGAGTACATATAGTCAGCAAAATGTAGCTAATAGCTCCTCTTACTACCTTAATTCCTGTCCTGGGAGATATTTATAAATTTGCTGATGGATTGAATGGAGCACTTCCTAGAACCCTCAATCTTCTAGCAGTTATGACACGTGGAAAGCTCATCTTTTCACAGGCATTACTTAACTATGGATTTTATCTTCTCACCTATTCTAGCATATATATTTATTGTATGTTAATAGACACCTGTGGAGATCTGTGGGACAGTCATGCTTTGCTAATCACTGTGTGTCATTGCTTAGGGTCTCTGTTGTGTGATGATTATTGGCAGAGTTCTGTAATGTGTTAATGCACACTGCATGTTACTGTAAGGTTTATTGATGGAGCTCCGTAATTCACAAATACACACTGCGCATTACTGTAACGTTTATTAATGGACCTCTGTAATCAACAAATATCCAACTACCAGAAACTGTAAGGTTTATTGATGGAGCTCTGTAATGCACTAATTCACAATGCATGTCACAGTGATTTCTATTTCTGTGGAGCTCTGTAATGCACTAATTCACAATGCATGTTACAGTGATTTCTGTGGAGCTCTGTAATGCACTAATTCACAATGCATGTTACAGTGATTTCTGTGGAGCTCTGTAATGCACTAATTCACAATGCATGTTACAGTGTGTTCTACATCTTTGGAGCTCTGTAATGCACTAATTCACAATGCATGTTACAGTGCGTTCTACATCTGTGCAGCTCTGTAATGCACTAATTCACAATGCATGTCACAGTGATTTCTATTTCTGTTGTGCTTTGTAATGCACTAATTCGCAATGCATGTTACAGTGCGTTCTACATCTGTGGAGCTCTGTAATGCACTAATTCACAATGCATGTCACAGTGAGTAATATTTCTGTGGAGCTCTGTAATGCACTAATTCACAATGCATGTTACAGTGATTTCTGTGGTGCGCTGTAATGCACTAATTCACAATGCATGTTACAGTGATTTCTGTGGAGCTCTGTAATGCACTAATTCACAATGCATGTCACAGTGATTTCTATTTCTGTGGAGCTCTGTAATGCACTAATTCACAATGCATGTTACAGTGATTTCTGTGGAGCTCTGTAATGCACTAATTCACAATGCATGTTACAGTGATTTCTGTGGAGCTCTGTAATGCACTAATTCACAATGCATGTTACAGTGTGTTCTACATCTTTGGAGCTCTGTAATGCACTAATTCACAATGCATGTTACAGTGCGTTCTACATCTGTGCAGCTCTGTAATGCACTAATTCACAATGCATGTCACAGTGATTTCTATTTCTGTTGTGCTTTGTAATGCACTAATTCACAATGCATGTTACAGTGCGTTCTACATCTGTGGAGCTCTGTAATGCACTAATTCACAATGCATGTCACAGTGATTTCTGTGGAGCTCTGTAATGCACTAATTCACAATGCATGTCACAGTGAGTTCTATTTCTGTGGAGCTCTGTAATGCACTAATGCATGTCACAGTGAGTTCTATTTCTGTGGAGCTCAATGTTACTAAGTTTTGTTGTACATACATGGTACACAATGCATGACTGAGTTTTATTGCTGCTGAGCTGTATGCTGCTCGTATAGTAATAGATTTCATTTGAGTTTTATTGTAAACACTGTAAAAAAATGTATATTCGCCACATTAAAAATGTGAATTTACTTATGTATTTTAATTTCCTCTGTTTCATTTTAGCAAGATCCCTACATAGCATCTATGGAGCATCATACAGACTGGGTAAACGACATTGTACTCTGCTGCAATGGGAAGACATGTAAGTATTGTACCAAGGAATGTATGAAAATAAGCTGTATTTCTGTATGAATGTGAACAATGGCACACGTTTTATGTTTTGATGATTTTTGTTCAGGTCTGTTGTTCTTATATGTTCGTTACTGGTGTGTAGAAATGGTGATGAGGAAGCCTGTAAGATTCACAGTTCCAACTCTCATTTAGTAGTTTAATAAATGTATGGAATTCAGCACTTTAAAGCTACTTCATTGTGTAGTCAATTTACAGAATTACTGCCTTGATCTTTGCTCTCAGTATGCTTAAAACATAGTTCCATCACCTATGGATGTGTATCTAGATGTTATTTGAAGTTACATTTTTGCAACTATTTTTAGGAAAAGCTAATGCTTTTAGACATTATATACAATAGATTGTTTTGTTTTTCTTCAAATTATTTTACTCTTTTAACCAAATGTTCATTGCATTTGCAGTAATATCAGCATCTTCTGATACTACTGTTAAAGTTTGGAACGCACATAAAGGATTCTGCATGTCCACTTTAAGGACACATAAGGTAATGCTTTAAAAAAGTACTATCACTTTGCTTGTTAATTGTTGGCTATTTTGAAAAAATAAATAATATATATATATATATATATATATATATATATTTGAAACTCTTGCACTCCTACTAAATATGCAAACATACCAGGTGCCAAGTCCCAATCAAATAACAAATATCAAAAAATTACCGGCACTCTTGGATGTAATTCATCCGATTTATTGTGGATCAATTCAAGCGAAGTCAACGTTTCAGCTCCCGATCGGAGCTTTCTTCAGGACATAAAGAGCATAAAAACATTGCATATAACAAACATATATAGGACATCTCTACCAATCAGCTGTATTCCAAATCCCCAAATGCCCGGCGTGCACTCAGCGCCTTTGCGCATGTGTGTCCCCAGAACGAGCTTCTGCATCACGTAATAGCGGGGGCCGGGTCTCAAACCCGGAAGCGTCACAGCACCTAGGCAACCACTAACACATGCTGCCTTGGTTACCGCTGTGTAAACTACAAAGTTACCCGATCCATAGTGAAGAGCTCAAATCATACTAACAAATTTAAGCCGAGCATTAGGGCATATATGGAGAGCCGTCAGATACAAATATAATAACAAATGGTTATCAATAATGAAAATACCAATTTCATCTGAGGGATATCCAAAAGTCCCACAGTAGCCATTATATTGAAAAATATATATAAACAAAAGTGATATAAATACAGTTAAACAATAATATACAAAACAAATATGTCAGAAAAATATATTCAATCGATCTATGTTGAAGTGTTTTACACTTGATAGATAAGTGTTTTGGAGAAGATTTTTCCATTTGGAGATTTGTTCAAAAAGATTGCTTTTGAAGAGAATTCCCTTCAACAATAAATTATTTTTTTTTAACTAATATTTTTTAGATAAAATTGATTAAATGCATCTAATTAAAGTGTAGATGATGGCTCCAATACACCCACTGATAGCCGTTTGAATATTGCTGGTTATAAATGGTGGGGTTACCAATCGTCCTTATAGTATTCATTTTTTTTATTTATAATAGTCCTTCTGGGTTAATCACTCCTTGATTTTTCAATTATTTAGCACATACACCAGATAATGCATATAGATGTGTATTCACATCAAGCAACAATATCCTTCACTTTTATAGATATTCTCACCTTTAAACATCATGAGATCATAATATATCTTTAAACACATATGATTACAATGACACTTTGGGTTCCTTATAACCCAAGACAACTTGATAACCGTTAACTTTACGAATTTTTCTGTTTCACATAATTATACTACACTTGTTTACAAGATGATCACAAATATGGCAGTTTATAAAACATTTTTATACCCAGTAGATGGAATTGGAAACAGTTACTTATAATCAGTTACAATTATATGTGTACCCATTTTCGATCTATGCTTTAATATCCAACAAACAAGATTGGCAATTGTTACCATTTGTATTAGCTAGTTTATGATGTACATGTATTCTTGGCTGAAATGTTTTGTAATAATAAAAGGATCAGCATCCTAGACCGCGGAGTGGGTGGCCTGTCCTTCTCTATGAAAAGAGATGTTCTCTCAGTGATGGCAGTCGACACAGCGTTAACCAGGACAGAATGCATTTAGCGGTTGCCTTGGTGCTGTGACGCCTCCTGTTTTGAGACTTGGCCCCCTTTATTACGTGGAGTGGGAGGTCTGATCGGAGGTACACCCTGGGTATTTAATAAGTTAAGATCGTTTGAGTATATTTTTTCTGACATATTATTTGTTTTGTATATTATTGTTTATCTGTATTTATATCACTTTTGTTTATATATATATATATATATATATATATATATATATATATATATATATAAAATTTTAAATTTTTTTCCAATATGATGGCTACTGTGGGACTTTTGGATATCCCTCGGATGAAATTGGTATTTTCATTATTGATAACCATTTGTTATTATATTTGTATCTGACAGCTCTCCATATATGCCCTCATGCTCGGCTTAAATTTGTTAGTATGATTTGAGCTCTTCACTATGGCTCGGGTAATTTTGTAGTTTACACAGCGGTAACCAAGGCAGCATGTGTTAGTGGTTGCCTAGGTGCTGTGACGCTTCCGGGTTTGAGACCTGGCCCCCGCCATCACATTATGCAGAAGCTCGTTCTGGGGACACACATGCGCTGAGTGCACGCCGGGCATTTGGGGATATGGAATACAGCTGATATGGTGAGTGTTGATTGGTAGAGATGTCCTATATATGTTTGTTATATGCAATGTTTTTATGCTCTTTATATCCTGATGAAAGCTCCGATCGGGAGCTGAAACGCTGACTTAGCTTGAATTGATCCACAATAAATCGGATGAATTAAATCCAAGAGTGACGGTAATTTTTTGATATTTGATATATATATATATATATATATATATATATATATATAATTAGCATAGTCTGGCAGCACATGCAAATTTCTTCTTCCCTCGTCATCATGGGAATCAGGTAATGCTGTTCTTCTGGTATTGCCGCATAGATACGTGTGTTCTTTATACATGCTTTTGCTGCAGGACTCATTAGGACAATAGCATATTATGACTGCAATAATTGGCATATTGGCTAGAAGAGTTCATAAAACCTAGGATTAACTAATGTATCTCATAATTCAAGAAAATTATATTCATTCTTCATTAAAGTTATTCATTTTCCTTTGCTACAGGATTATGTAAAGGCCTTGGCATACGCAAAGGACAAAGAACTTGTTGCGTCTGCTGGTCTGGACAGACAGATATTCCTGTGGGATGTAAATACTCTTACTGCCCTGACTGCTTCCAACAACACAGTCACAAGTAAGTCAACATTTCATTGCACTTCAACCTTATTGTTCCATGCCTTCTTACATTCCAGGCTCTATTACACAAATAACGAAACCATGCTGTAAATAGTCACTTTAAAAAAAAAAGTGTAACCCCCTACTCCCACCACCCCAAATGTCTATTTGAAATCTCCAGTGAATTTTGAATTAGCAATAGTAATACAATCTTGCTGGGCACTGGTGGTGCAGTTGACCGATTCTTTTAACCCCTTAAGGACCAAACTTCTGGAATAAAAGGGAATCATGACATGTCACACATGTCATGTGTCCTTAAGGGGTTAAATAAAATATGAAGTGCATATATTCAAGAATATGTCCCAAGTACAGCGACTTTGAAGTCCCTGCATTTGTGGTAAAACTGTTGTCTCTGCAGCTTCTGTAATAAACTTGACCAATCCTGCTCACCTAACTTTCTATAGCACCGCTAAGCTTATTGCATAGACTGTATTTTATGGTCTCAGAAATTGTTTTAAAAGTGTTGGGCAGAAAAGGGGAACTTATGAAGCATAACTAGTTAATATTTAAATAAATACCATTTTATTAAATTATATAAACCCACCAGAACTGTAACCGAACCTACACAGTGCATCATAAATACCATTTTATTAAATTATATAAACCCACCAGAACTGTAACCGAACCTACACAGTGCATCATCTCCCACAGTGTGGGAGCCTGGAGAGTCCCTTTAATAATATAAACCCTCCCGGTCTAACTAACTGTAACCGAACCTACACAGTGTATCTAACGTGTGTGAGATCCTGGAGTGTTCCTTTAATAATATAAACCCTCCCGGTATAACGAACTGTAACCTAACCTACACAGTGCATCTAATGTGTGTCGGAGCCTGGAGTGTTCCTTTAATAATATAAACCCTCCCGGTATAACAAACTGTAACCTAACCTACACAGTACATCTAACGTGTGTAGGAGCCTGGAGTTCCTTTGAACTGCATCACCATATCTTTACAAAAATGTAAAATGCTAATAAAAGGATGAATAATCTGTTCCAATAAATGTTGTGTCCGTTCTTAAAGGGACAATGTAGGTGTTCTGTAACTGCTTCATAGTTATAGTGTCTGGAGTCCCCTGGCAATGTTTTTCTATTCAGTGTTAAACCGTATTTAATGCTAAAATGTGCTGATTGGGGCAAAGAGAAAGCATTAGCCTGCATAGCAGTGGGTGGCTGTGATAGAGCGAAAAACCGATAAGCTGACACTTTCAGCCAATCACAGTGCCCACAGCTAGAAGGAAGTGTATAATCTCTGCCTTAGCCACTGGTTGGAGGAACACTGTCAGGGAAATACAGGCACTATAACCCATTCAATAAGATGAAATCGTTACAGTGCCTACAGTGTCCCTTTACAACACTTTAGAGATGCATCTTGTGTGTCATATTAGAAATAATATACTAGTGGTTATAATAAACCATTACAATCTAAGAGGCCTATCAAGTAATGCGTTGGAATGTCAGTCAGTTGCCAATAAATGGTACTCCATGTCTTTGCTAGTTTATTCACATGAAATAAAGACTTTTCAAAATCATGGGTAAAAGGTCACGCTTTATAATGTGCTATGTTTATACTGGAAATATTGAAAGACTTTCACTTTCTGTATGTTTTCATATTTATGTATTTCTAAAGCAACCAATATACAATCTCACAGTGTAACAGCCTCACGGAAGGCCACACTGTCTGAAATATTGACCTTGCTTTTGGGTTTCCTTGTAAAGTTAAAATGCAAGTTAAGCCAATGGGAGAGAACTAAAGCAAAGCCTGATTTCCCCAACATACGTCATTGCATAATCTTTAGCCTCCTGCCAAGTGTTACCTGAATAAATTATTTACAGCTCCAACCCATACTGCGGCCCATTGATTATAAGGGATAACAAACACACAGCTTTTGTTAATCCAATTAAAACTTGTTTTCCTGGCACTATAAGGTCATTATAGGGCCCTCCCGCTTTCTCCTGTGTTGGGGAGCTCTACTCCCTCTGCCGACGTCGGCTCCGCACGCGTGGCAAGAGCCGCACGCACATTCAAACCGACCATAGGAAAACATTACTCAATGCTTTCCTATGGACGTCCAGCGTCTTCTCACTGTGATATTTTTTTTTTTTTTGTGAAAATCGCTGAAGCGCCTCTAGCGGCTGTCAGGGAGACGGCTACTAGAGGCTGGATTAACCCTCAGTGAAACATAGCAGTTTCTCTGAAACTGCTATGTTTACAGCTGCAGGGTTAAAACTAGAGGGACCTGGCACCCAGACCACTTCATTGAGCTGATGTGGTCTGTGTTCCTATCGTGGTCCTTTAAGTTTTTCCATTTTTAACTTAAGAGTGTCAATAGCAGACAGAACAAGCCACATTTGTGCAGTTTTGGCTGAGGGAAAATTCAAATTTTTGTGAATAATCCAGACTGTGTCCCCTTCATAAATAGTTAACATGTTTTTCATTAGCTTCCTCTCTCAGTGGAAACAAGGATTCTATCTACAGCCTGGCGATGAATCAGATGGGAACAGTAATAGTGTCCGGATCTACAGAAAAGGTAAGATTCCTGTTCAATAAAAGAAACCTGATATTTAGCTGTTTCTTTCCTTCAGCCACTTACCTTTCTCCAGCGCCGGGCTCCCTCAGCGCTGGGGAACTAGTCTGCTCCAAAAGCGCATTCGCGGCAAGAGCTGCGCGCGCCTTCAAACCGCCCATAGGAAAGCATTACTCAATGCTTTCCTATGGACGTCCAGTGTCGTCTTACTGTGATTTTCACAGTGAGAATTGCAGAAGCGCCCCTAGAGGCTGGATTAACCCTCAGTGTAAACATAGCAGTTTCTGTGAAACTGCTATGTTTTCAGCTGCAGGGTTAAAACTAGAGGGACCTGGCACCCAGACCACTTCATTGAGCTGAAGTGGTCTGGGTGCCTATAGTGGTCCTTTAAAGGAATTTTGCAAGCACCATAACCACTACAGGGGCTGTCTGAGCTAAACTAGGCAGTGCAGGGCTTACCTCATTGGCTGAGAGTGATTAGCCGACTCTATCAGCCAGTGAGCTTGCACTGCAGAATTTAGTTCAGGAGAGATAATGCAAGCTACTGCTTAGGAATGTCCAGCTCTCCATTGGAAGCCATGGAGAGAGCGAGCGGTGCCGAACAGTGGATCCTAGGTAAGAAGCCAAACTCTTCTAAAACAGTTTGACTACTTGCAATTGGGAGGGCGGGTTATACTATTTGCAGTGATGGTAATGTCTCTGCCATAAAGCCAGTCCTTCCCTAATAAGAAAGTAATTAAGGGAGGGACGGAGCAATTGTGACAAGCACTCAAGGGCACAGTGCCTGTATTAAACGTTTGGCCCCATAATCACTTAATTCATATATAGTTGATATAGAGCTGGACTCAGTGCAGAGTGTTCCTTTAATTTAGAATTAATGCTAATATTTATTTTTCATGCAAGTCTTTGACCTGTTCCCAAACAATGTTTACTTACAATTTTTACTTGTTTTGTGTACAGGTTTTAAGGGTCTGGGATCCACGGACTTGTGCTAAACTGATGAAGTTGAAAGGGCATACAGACAATGTAAAAGCTTTGCTGTTAAACAGAGATGGCACCCAGGTACGTAATGTCACAGAGTTTGGACAAGATCTAGAATATCCTTTACTGGATAATGCATGGAAGAAGGTATAGGTATGTGACAGGCCCACTCCAAAGATGAAAAACGTGTAAACGAGGTCACTGTTTGTCATTTATAACCATGTTCTAGTTGAAATTCTGAAGACCTTGCACAGCAGGTGGTATTAGGAAGCTGATTCGTGTTCGTTTTCTTGACACTCTTAAGAAATCTGCTAGGAGATGAGTGGTTTTGGAATGTTGTTCTGTAGGTTTCACAATAGTCATGATCCATTCCAGATATTCCAACTGGAATTCCAGATATTCCATATCGCTGCAAAATCTCGTGGTCACTACTCTATCCTAATTCTCCTTGACCTATCTGCGGCTTTTGACACTGTTGATCATCAACAGCTTCTTCTCATCCTCCGCAATATCGGTCTACAAGATACTGCTCTCTCCTGGTGCTCCTCCTACTTCTCCCAGCGCTCTTTCAGTGTTTCTTTCTCTGGCTCTGCTTCTTCTTCCCAACTCCTCTCTGTTGGTGTCCCCCAAGATTCAGTCCTTGGTCCCCTACTGTTCTCCATCTATACTGCCTCCCTTGGTAAACTCATTAGCTCCTTTGGCTTCCAATATCATTTCTACGCAGATGACACGCAAATCTACCTGTCCTCTCCTGATCTCCCCCCCTCCCTCTTGACTAGTGTCTCTGACTGCCTCTCTGCTGTTTTTTAACTGGATTGCTGCCCACTTCCTTAAACTAAACTTGACCAAAACTGAAATTCTGTTTTTTCCTCCCTCAAGTGTTGTTACTCCTGTGTCTGTCTCCCTCCAAGTCAACGGTGCTACCATCAACTCCACCACGCAGGCTCGCTGCCTAGGTGTTCTCTTTGACTCCAACCTCTCCTTCAAGCATCATGTTCAATCTATCTCCAAATCCTGTCATTTCCATCTCAAAAACATTGCTCGCAACCGACCTTACTTAACGCCAGATGCGACTAAGGTGTTGGTCCATTCCACTGTCTCGCCTTGACTACTGTAATCTGCTTCTCAGTGGTCTTACGTGCTCCCAACTAGCACCGTTACAGTCCATAATGAATGCGGCAGCGAGGCTCATCTTCCTGTCGCTTCCCTCCTCCGTTAGATGCTCACCCAGTCTCCACTCCTTCAAAAAAGCGTTAAAAACCCACTTCTTCATAAAAGCGTATGAATTAAACTGTTAATAGCTCCTGACTGATTCCTCTTCTGCAACTGTTACTAGTCTAATATTATCCTTACCTTTTTGTGTCATTTTACCCCACTCCCTGTAGCATGTAAGCTCATTGAGCAGGGCCCTCAACCCCTCTGTTCCTGTGTATCCAACTTGTCTGGTTACAACTACATGTCTGTTCGTCCACCCATTGTAAAGCGCTGCGGAATTTGACGGCACTCTATAAATATCAGAATAATAATAAATATCATAATAACTGGAATGATGTGAATATATCATGAATGAAAACGGTGTGTGAGTTTTGCATGCTGGCTTAGCTAGAATATCTTTTCAGTGTCTTTCAGGCAGCTCTGATGGAACAATCCGACTCTGGTCTCTTGGGCAGCAGCGGTGCATAGCAACTTATAGGGTCCATGATGAAGGTGTCTGGGCACTCCAGGTCAATGAAGGTTTTACTCATGTGTACTCTGGAGGAAGAGATCGAAAAATATATTGTACAGACTTGAGAAATCCTGATATTCGATTGCTTATCTGTGAGGAGAAAGCGCCGGTTCTAAAAGTAAGCAGTTTTTGTTTTTTTGTTTTGTCCTTCCATGCTTACTGTTTTTAGGATTCTGTGTAAATCCTAAATCTGGTTATATTCTTATAAAGATGTAGAACATGTTTTGTGTGTGTGTGTGTGTGTGTGTGTGTGTGTATATATATATATATATTAGTTTTGGGGATTGAGAAAAGAAAATCTACACGTGAAGTCAAACATGATTACAATACACTCCAACAAATAACTGTTTTAAATAACAGAATGTGCTTACGATCCTTGATCTTTACAATTCAAAATACCTTATGTAAGGAAGCTTGCAAGTATCAAATATAACCTCACAGAGCAGTTTGTTTAATAATGGATAATCTAGACCAGTCCATATTCATTGTAAGACTATAACAGGATTGGTCAGCTTTAACCCCTTAAGGACACAACTTCTGAAATAAAAGGGAATCATGACGGAATATTTCCGTCATGTGTCCTTAAGTGGTTAAAAATATCCTTCTTTTGATTTATTTATAACATGTAAACCTGTGTTTATTTCCAGATGGAACTTGACCGATCTGTAGATCCTCCAGTAGCACTTTGGGTTTCCACAACAAAATCGTCTGTAAATAAATGGGTAAAAGACAATGTTTTTAATACTTTTTTAAATTTCCTGTTTCCAGTATTCATTAAAGGGACACTATAGTTACCAAAACAGCTTTAGCTTTAATGAAGCAGTTTGGGTGTATAGATCATGCCCATGAAGTCTTAAAAAAAATTAAAAAAAATCTTGTCTTTTTCTTTTAAACTTGAATGTTTGCTTTTTAAAGCACTCTTGTAAAACATCCATTTTGACACCACTTTCTTCTAGCCTGTCAAAGGTATACTGAACTTCAGAGCATCCGGGGATTATGAGAATGACTGTAGCACACCTTTGAGTCCTTTATGCTCACAACCTGACCAAGTCATTAAAGGTAATCATTGTTTTTGGTTTTTTTTGTCATACCTGACTGCAAGGATTAAGCCGACTTTGGAGGGGGATTCAGGACAAAAAGGGGAAACCATTTGGTAAAAGGATCTAGAATGTGTATTTGGAAGGGATATGTGAGAGGGCAGGATTGTACCCCTGGAAATTCCTGCACGGCAATAGCATCAGAGTTGTTAAGTGTTAAAAATGTGGCTATTATTGATACTGCCCTATTGATAAAATGAAGAAATTTCCCTGGAATTCTGTGGCATAAATTGTTTTCTTCTCCTCCTCTAGGGGGTGCTAGCATTATTCAGTGCAACATACTTAATGACAAGCGACACATACTAACCAAAGACACAAATAACAATGTGGCATATTGGGATGTTCTGAAGGTAAGATATTGGGGTGTTCTCTGTACTCTCTAGAATAATTCCTTCTATCCCACATGAATTATTTTATATTGCATGATGTTGTGTCGTACAGTTTGACTTAAGCACCAGTACTATGTATTAACAGCAATTCAGCAAATACATTGTATGTAGATAAGATGTCTTATTCAAATCTCAGGCCGACCCCTTTAACAGCACATTTGCCAGCCTCCTATTTCTTTTATGTTTTAGACACATTATGTACATCTTGCAAAATGTTTTTTGTTTTGAATTGTATTCATAAATGAAAGTAAGAGGAGCATTAAAAACGTTGCCATATTCCTTTTATAAGTACAAGAGAACCATAGTTTTATCCATTATATCTTTTATCTTTATCATATTTCTTATATCATTGATTTGCAGGCCTGCAAGGTTGAGGATCTGGGGAAAGTCGATTTTGATGAAGAAATTAAGAAAAAATTTAAAATGGTTTACGTTCCAAATTGGTTTTCTGTTGATTTAAAGACCGGGGTAAACATTTTGTCGGCATCTGTATTTTCCTATATTGTAGAGAGTTTACAAAAAGGTTTTTTTTGTTTTTTTTTTCCTCTCCTCATTTGGCTACTTTTCTGCTTAATCTGTCAACTACGTGTTAAATTAAGAAAGATCCGAAATTAAAGAGTTGCTCTAACCACCATGACCACTTCACTGATTTGAAGTAGTTATGGTGGTAGGAGTCATTAAATGCAGTGTTTCGGTTTGAAACTCTGACATACTGAGATATTTGTAATTGTGTGTTGGGAGCTAGATGCAGCCCAGAACTCTGGGTAGCCTAATGTCAATTCTGTGCATAAATTACATTTGTTGTCAGTCCATACTGTGCATTGAGCCTTCAAAGGATTTTAGGTGACTAAAAACTTGTAGTTTTACTATAAATTGAGAGGGGAGAATTTATCAACCGTGACCAATAGGGCATATTGCACCGGAAGGATCCCCCCTCAAAAGGGGTTATAGTAATCCTTTAAATTAAACTGAAATCTGGAATTTAGTAAACTCCATCATTCTACTCTGCATGCTGTGCTTAGAGAAACACCAGGATTCACTCTGCATGCTGTGCTTAGAGAAACACCAGAATTCACTCTGCCGTGTTTAGAGGTACATGCTCTGTAGTGCGTTGCAGTGTTAGTAAAACCCAAAGTAGTTTGTGTAGGTTTAGTAATGTGACTTTGAGATCTACGTACAGATTTGTATATAGATGGCTCATTTTACTGTCGTTTTCTGATCTACTTGAAGATTATGAACTGTAGTTTAATGTATACAGAACTCGGAGAACTGTGTTTTAAAGCTTGTTATACTTTAGTTTTGCATTATACAAATGAACACTGCGTAGTGTGAATTGGAGGTAGGTAGCGATAGATGGCGTTCACAGTACTGGCTTATGTTAAATATTCTAAACCACTTTCCTTTGGCAGATGCTGACCATTACATTGGATGAGAGTGACTGCTTTGCTGCATGGGTATCTGCGAAGGACACTGGATTCAGCAGTCCGGATGGCTCAGATCCAAAATGTAAGATTTGAGATGGCATTGTGTGGGCAACTTGCTATCTCACCTCTAGTAGTTCCTTGCAGAATTTTGAATAAGATCTAATAAAACCAGATGGCTTTCCTTGAAGACTAAAACAATGTTACTGAAACCTCATAAAATACTTGGTAAAAACAATGTAGCCTTTTACAATTATCTATTAAGGAGCAACCCATTGTTAACCTCTCTGATCAAACAAAATAAATGTGCAACAAAAGTAAACGTTCCTTTAAAAGAAAGATGGTAATTGTGATTTTTGGGTTTTTTTTTTTCAGTGAACCTCGGTGGTCTCCTATTACAAGCATTGCTGGAGTTTTGGCCAAGAACGCATATCAATCCTATGGAAGAAGAGGAAAATGAAGTAAATCATGGTGAGTGTTTCTATCTTTACAAATTCTTCATGACATGAGGTTATGTGGTGACTTCCTTGGATGGACACCAGAAGACTTTGTGTCCATCCTGCTTACATAAACTATAACATGAAAAGTTACTGGCTAGGGAAAATGGGGTTTATAAATAAATTGTCTCACTTCCTAGTCAGTATTTTCCCCCCGGATTAGAGGCAGTGCACAACAGGGCTTTTCTCTACTCTAGAGGGAATTTTTTTAAGTTCTTTCCCAAACTCCTCCTTCGGTACTATGAAGTGCCACAAATCAGAATAATCTCCAGTGCTTGGCCTGCTCTGGCAGGATAGGTCAGTCCGGCTTAACCTTTATTATTTGCCCTGGAGCATGGTTGAGGGAGCTGCGGATTAGAGGCTCTGCTCCGGTTCTCCGTGGAAGCACGGGCTGGAAAGACTTGTTTCTCCAGTCATTTGGCAAATTTTCTTTCATAAATGCCTAAAATCTGAGCTTCAGCTCTTATGTTCTCTAGGTAAGCTGGGCTCTAGTCACATCTCCCTGCATGTGACTTGCACAGCCTTCCTAAACACTTCCTGAAAAGTAACCTAGATATTCTAGGTTCCTGTTTAATTTAGAATTTCTTATCCCCTGCTCTGTTAAGTCTCCTGGACCCTGTAGAAGCCTCCTGTGTATTATTAAAATTCAATTTACAGTGCAGGAGATAAACTTCTAAATCAAGATAACATCTGATGCAGTCTGTATGAGTCACAGCCAGAGAAAAGTGTGGCTAGGGCTGCATAAACAGAAACAAAAGTAATTCAATTCTCTGCCATTTAGGAGTTAAACAGTGGACCATGGTCTACATGCCAAACTGCCTCATTAAAGCGACACTGTAGTCCTGAAAACAACTGTAGCTTAATTAAGCAGTTTTGGTGTATAGATAATGCTTCTGAAGTTTCACAGCTCAATTCACTGCAATTTAGAAGTTAAATCACTTTTTCTGTTTATGCAGCTCTAGCCACACCTCCCCTGGATGTGACTGACACAGCCTGCATGAAAATAAAAATGGTTTTAATTTTTAATCAGATGTTACTTACTTTAAAAGTTTTTATCTCCTATTCTAAATTTATTTAATTTTTTTAAAGATAGTTCTTTATTGACATAAAGCAATCAGGTATAAGCATTGCATTGTATGACAATTTATTAGGATAGCATGGATTAAACATTTGATACAGATGTGATGTAATGCGTGTATACTGCTCACGCATACAACCATGGATACATTAACAACTTTTTAGTACAGTCTGTTAGCGACCAGTGTATATAGTAATTTCCCTGTTGGGCGATATGCCATACCCTCTCGTCACCTGCGTGATGCTTGTGTTGAACTATACATTTTTTTAATGTGTTTTTATATATATATATATATATATATATATATATATTCATACATTAACAGTGACTAACGCTTATCAATACGTCGAACAAAGCACTTAGCTCTTCTTTAAGTAAACAAGAGACGGGGTATTCGTGATAAGAGGGAAAGAGGCCCTTGTCCCTGCTTCACCCCTCAATAGTTTCCAGTTGTCGCTATTGCTACGGGGTTTTCGTGGTCGACCTGGTTTACCCTATAGGGCTGTAAGAGAGGTGAGGGCAAGAGGGGTCATAATGGATGAGAGTGGTACCTGTCATTCAGCCGCTTGGGCCAGTCCCTGTGTCTGTATGTCAGGGGGAAAAGTATAGAGTAATCTGTATTGTCTCCCCTAAATTGAACATTTATCACACACAGGAGCTGGGTCTAGCAAACTATTGGCATAATTTGCAATAAAGGAAGTGTAAACATTAGATGACTCTTTACAGGAAATGTTTACAGGAAGGCTGTGTAAGTCACATGCAAGGTGTGACTAGGGCTGCATAAATAAAGTGATTTAACTCCTAAATAGTGCTAGGGTTGTATTTACATAACAATACCGGCACACCTTTCATTTAATTATTGAAGAATGATGTCTTTTTACTATCTGTGTGTGTATTTTCCTGTACTTATTTTTATTTTGCAGTGGCAAATGGAGAGCCTGAAACTAGGATACAGAAAGGCAATGGCTATTTCCAAGTGCCACCTCACACCCCTGTGATCTTTGGTGAAGCTGGGGGGCGCACTCTCTTCAGGTAATAGAATGTTCATTAGCGTATCTGTCGCTCACAGTTATACAAAATAATAAGGAAGTTGTTCATAAATGACAGTGAAGCCCATAAGCAAGCAGCTTATAATTTGTTTTTTAAAATCTTGTAATGTAAAAACCGTGTGGGAAGGGAGGACAATACACACTGCTTCACCATAAGTGCTACACTGCATTCTACTAGTTGTAACACCCCAATAGCTTCCCCACACAGAGCTTTTTAGCATATCCATCCTTCCCCCACAACATTTTTTTTTTTAAATGCACACATTGCAGCCTCTGCACAGTTAGTCTATTACAATGTAAAAGAGGGGGAAATAGCAGGAAAGGTACAGAAAGATTGACTGAAGATAGAGGTTGAATAAACAGATGCGGGGGTGCACCAAAGCAGCAGTTATTGGTATTGCAGTGTAAAACATCAGTTAACATGCATTCATATTTTAAGTCTCAGCACCAGAATGCCATCATTATTTTGGAGATGTATGCACAACTAAACCCAGGTATTCTTCAATTTTAGGTTATTGTGCAGGGATTCTGGGGGTGAAACGGAATCTATGCTCCTCAACGAGACAGTGCCGCAGTGGGTGATCGACATCACTGTGGATGTAAGATTTTTCTTACATTTTTGTTACTGTAATATTTAGCAGGAAATGTGTCTTTGAGAATCAAAGATGTTGTTTTTGTATTATTAGTTCCTTGTCTTGTCCTGCCATTTTCCTCGCTCAGTTCTACCTTGTAGTGGTGTGAATGTTGTACTTTTATGTAATCAGTGATATAATAAGAAATAAGATACGTAGTTACAACTAGTCGTGACGCCAATATGAACTACTGGGTCATACGCCAATTAAAGTAAGAGGAGGTATTAAGATTTTTCTATAGAATAATCTTCAACTTATTTTAGACAATTCCTTTACCCACAAAGCTAATAATCTCTGCTATTAGATGTTTTACTCCGCAGACATATAGCTTTTGATGCATTCCGCGTATACCTATTGTATCAGTTTCCGTTACCATTTGTTAAATTGTAAATTACTTTATTTTTTCTTATCTTTGTTTGTACAGCTGTTCTTGTAAGGTCTTATCAAGTTGTCTACATACGTTTTTCAAATATTGCTTCGTATTCATCAAAACCGCCTTACCCCTCCCCCCTTGTCTACGCTCTGATAAATATACTTTTATTTTTCTCGTTCTAGTGAATACTCAGCAATATTTGAGACAATTATTTACAACAGTCATATTTTGGTGTTCATGTAAAATTGGAAAACATTTATTTTTTAAATGATCTGTTTTGATTTATAGAAAAATATGCCGAAATTCAATAAAATTCCATTCTACCTCCAACCTCATTCATCATCGGGTGCAAAAACTTTGAAAAAGTAAGTATATTTAGCATACTTAAAAATGTGGAAAAAACCCCGAAACAAAACATACAATTTCACATTGTAGAAAGTAAAGATTGGATGTTGCAAATTCATTATATAGGAAATATCACGTTATCCTGCAGTTTATAGACTTGAAAGGATATTGAAGTAAAAGCAAGTAAGCAATGTTAGTAATGATTTCCTGGTTGTGTCAGGACTTTGCAGACATTCTAACATATTGCAATCTTCAGAGCAGGGAATTTTCACATTTCCCCACCAGTTGTTTTCTGATTAAAGTTCCCAGAATCCTTCGCCAATAATTATGGCTGCTGTATAGTGTTCAGAAAGACTGACACACATCTAGTATTTCTTAATGCAACATTAAAAAAAAGTGCTTTGACAGAGAACGTGTAGTCTGTGTGCCATGGAATGTGAACATCTAAATGAAAGGTTACATTTTTTAAATGCGATTTTGCATGAAAATCCGCAAGAAAGTTTCTGAATTAAAGGTCAAAATTGTAAAAATGTTTTCAATGTGGCTATATTATACTGAAATGCACTAGTCTCCATAATTCCCACTTTAGTGAATGTTTGTGTGACAGGAAAGCCTGCACCTTAAAACATTTGCAAGAGGGAAGTAGTCTTGTGCACCGCTCACCTGTCTAATAATTTAAGGGCTAAAAGGAATAACTGCTGTGTAATTCTATGCCCTAATATTCTTCAGTATATACACTGTTGCCTGCTTTAGGGATCGATTGTCAGCAAGCGATATGCTGCAAGTCCGAAAAGTGATGGAACACGTGTACGAGAAAATTATTAATGTGGATACAGAGTCTCAGACAACAAGCTCCTCGAATAATGAGAAACCTGGAGAACAAGAGAAGGAGGAAGATATTGCCGTACTTGCAGAAGAAAAGATTGAGCTGTTGTGTCAGGACCAGGTAATTAGGTTTTTATTGTTTAGAATTAACTTTGAACATTTAGCATGGAATTCAATTCAATTATTAATCGGATAATTGAAACAGTCAAGTAGCTTTTGTTTGTTTTAAGATTCTATACCAAAATCATGGGGGGTGGGGGGGGTTTGTTTTCTTCCTTACTGTACATGTATTCAGTTTTAAATTATTGGGTAAATCTGTGCATTTCTTCCTGCTGTATAACTTAAGTCTGCAGTAGCCAGTACAGTTACGCAGTGAATTTTGAGAAAAGCTAGTCAACATTTTGACGGCATCTAACTAAGCTAATCTAAAGGACCATAAAATAAAGCAATCCTGTCTTTACCATAATAATACTTTTAAAATGAGATGCAATCTTGGTGGTGGTGGGGGAGAGAGCAGGGGCAATAAAACAACTTGTGGTCAGACTAAAATGTATTTTATTATGGACAGATTAATGTTTATGGTATAGTTTTCTATCCAAGATGTCTTGTCATAAAATGGTATTTTGGAAGGAAATATAAACTTTTCTTTCTGTTTTTTTTGTTTACAGATTTTAGATCCCAACATGGACCTTAGAACCGTAAAGCACTTCATTTTTAAGAGCGGTGGAGATCTGACACTCCATTATCGTCAAAAATCAACGTGAACCAATCAATGCCTGGACCTAAACATCCTTAAACAGCAGCTCTGGTTTAACAATACGTACTGTATAGAAGCCTACTGAACTTTGAAATGCACAGACCGTTAATTGAGGCAGTATAGACCTGCACCTGTATATTTAGCCAGTCTTTCTGTAATCAATTAACAAAATACCTTTTGGCTTCAGTCATTTTAATGTGCATATGGAATGATGGCAAGGCTATTGTTCTCATGTAATGTAAAAAATGAGCTCTGTCTAAAGCTTCCTTTGCTTTCTGATTCCAATACTTTATGAACCTTTTCACTATTTTGAACTTTTAATTTTACCTTGAAATTTAATCTGGTTTTGGTCAACCTACACCCTGCGTGTAAGTACATTCCATCTTCCTAAGACATTAGGAAATGCTCAAGGCCTTGTTCTATTGGTGGAGAACCCCATTATTCTTCACATATGCCCCCCCTCCCCCATTGTTTCATTTTCAGTTTCTTGTAATGTAGTGACAATGTTCTTGCAGAGTAAATTAAGCCAACAAAGGAAAAACAAAAAAAGTTTCATGATGCTGTGCATCGTTTAAAGAAAGGAAAAAAAACCTCTCCCCCTTTAAAGTGAATTGAAACACAGTTTGCACCGACTTCCATTGGTATTCTGAAATCCAAAGTGACGATCTAGCTGATATTTTATATTGAGTAATGTTTAGAAATGTCTCTGGCACAGCCTTTATGGCTAATTAAAGCTGATATCTAGACTGCGAATACATTTCATATTCCGTCTGTAACACTTGTGCAATTATGAGGATATGTAAACAAAATGTTTTTTTTTTTTGTTTTTTCTCTCTCCCTGAATCCCCCCTTTTAATTTCATTTTACTGCCAGTGAAGTTGAACACAAGTTTCTTTCTACGTTGGCCACGAGGTGCTTTTTTTTTTTCTTCCATTCCATATGAAGAATTTATTACTTCCTTCTTACAGATTTCTTTTTTTTTTTTTTTTTTTCTTATGGCTAATATAAGCTATTAATATTTGTCAGATTTGTAAAGTTTCAATATCAGAAACATGACTTTTACGATGAAGTCTGGAAACATTTGCATGATTGGTCATGTTGTAGTTGCACTTCCTATTAAAGAGTTGTAATATAAAATTCAAAGTGCACTGATACACAAGTTTAAAAATTGATAAATTCCCACTTCTATACTTTATTTTTATTATTAAAGGAATAGTCCAAGCATTGTAGCCACTAACGCTTATTGTTATGGTGCAAGGGTCTTTGGGTGCATTCCATCTTGCTTTTGTGGTTTGATGATAACCTGGGTTCTCCCCTTTTTAAAGCCTGTTACCTGTTAAGAACACTTTCCCTGGTCCTATTCCTATCATCCAAATACAGGCTATATCTTGCTGCAGCAAAACCACTAGGCTTTGGGGTTTTGTCATATTGCGTAAACAATCTGACTGCACCCAAAGAATCCTCACACTATAACCATTACAGTAACCTGTAATAGTTCTGGTGCTCATTCACAGACTGTCACGAATTGACAGCATTATTGCAACATTTAGACCAAAAGAGCAGTTTGGGGGGAAAAAAACACTTATCAGTGAACAGAAACCTAAAGAGATTTTTAAATTTTTTTTTTTTTTTTAAACCTACTACGTGAGCACCCATTGATTTAACACTCTCTTTCCATTCCTTTGAGATGTTTCGTTAAATATTGTTAACATTTTTGTTGTTCAATGCAAAACTTGTATATATTCACCATTTCCCTTTTAATGCTGTGTAATACTGGGGAACATACAGATTAGTTTAATGAAGTGTATTTTATGGTTGTATAGAATAAAATATTTGATTAAAAACTTGTTTATAAATCTGTTAATTTTGTTTGGCTGTTATAAAAAAGGTGTTTTGAAAGAAAAAAAAAGTAGCCTTTGAAATGCATACAAAACAAATCTGAAAGTTGTGATTTGCTTTTTTTTTTTTTTACTTACACCCCTCTTCTCTGGATAAGATTCTGGTTCTATTGGATAAATGAGGTGGATCTACTGCATCAAAATTTGCTGGCTGTACATAGACGTCTAATACAAAGTATGGCAAACATGCATTATAAAATGTCTTGTTTGGCACAATAGTAGTTAGCAGGCTCCAAATCGACTATTTTCTGAAATCCGTTCTGGACAAATACAACAAAATTATGCCTGTATGCCAGGAGCACAATGTGAGAAGCATAAAGGACATGTTTTCCCCTGCTGCCTGCCTACAATCCAGCGAACAGCTCCCTGCAGGCTCAATTTAAGGAATTGGAGATATTGCATTGTGGTATGAGGCAGAATTATAATCCCCAAATCATCCATGTGAATGCTATGCTTGGCAGGAAAAAAAAAAAAAACCTTCCAGAATGGCAAATGACTTGAAGGACGTTTCCACATTGAATGAGGCAGATCTTCTACAAAGAAAGTTGATGCCATCAAGTGGTATACCATGAAACTTGGAGATATATATATATATATATACTTTGTTTGCCTTCAAAATCTCCCACCACTAAATCTTACATTTGGGCAAAAATTCCTTAGCTTTGGAGCCATATATTTATTTTCAGATTATGATATTTTGTCTGGCAGTGGCAGCTGTTTTTGCAGTGTCTGTCGATCACCAAATGGTTTATAACAAATATATACTTCCAGATCACTGTATGGTGTCTGGAGCGTTATCTGAAATTTCTACTGATGGGAGTCTGAGTGCACAAGAAAGGTGTCAGTCCTGTATCATCTAATTTATTCACTCTGAATGAACTATGTTTCTAAATTTCAGCCACAAGTAGTGTATTTGAGAATTGAATAAATCTCAGACTTGGCTGTTTTAGATTAGATCTTTTAATTCTTAGAATTCACTAGTCAATGAATAAACCTTTATGTCTGGTAATAGACCATAGAAAGAAACAAACTAAATTGCTGGAGATATTTAGAGCGTTGGATTTTTTAACGTGATACCGTCACTATTACTATCTACCGTGAAATAAAATGTAAATGCCCTGGCTCCGTTCCCACGACTGTCATAAAACGAATTGGTCAGTAAGTGAGGATGCGCTAGAGAGCAGGTCTATGTTCTGGGGAAATTCCTCAAACACACCAGCTATTCTAATGTGGAGAATCTCTTGAATCCCTGCGCTAGAGAGTTTATTGTAAGTCCGAGCAGTCATGCAGGTAAGTTGCTAAGTGAGATCTACCTGTAATTAGATGGGCACAGGACCTCAACATCATTCACTGAGTGGCTGGTCCTGCAGACCCAAAGTTGGATTTTATGTATTGAAGGAAGAGAACACTTTCTGGGTCTCTTCCTTTGTGTATACTGTATTGCCTTTTGCAACAGGCATCATTTAAAATGACTGACAAAGGTCCAAGAAGGAGGCACTCTGTGTCAGAATAGACCAGCGTGGAGTTTTACATTTATATTTCCAGACCTCCCAAACAGGTTTTGTTCAGTATAAGGAATAAACAGAGTATTTATTAACTAAAATCCTAAGTCGTCAGAACAGAAGGGGAGGAATGAATGAAGGAGCCTGCCAACCAATATATCTAAACCAATCTGTAGGCTATTGTGCATGCTGGTAAAACACCATGCTGCAACAATCAGCATCTCTTCATAGAGCTACATTGAATCACTGCATTTCGATGAGGAACGATCAGCAGAGCGTGGAGACACTCTGCAGCACTTACCCAGGAAGCACTTCTAGTGGTCATCTAAGTGACTGCCATTTGTTACTAGGCAGCAATGTGAACAATGCCTTCTCTCTAAAAAGACTGTTTACAGTGTTAAGACTGCAGGGACATGCTATAAGCAACATACCCACTACATTTAGATGTTGTGGTAACTATAGTGTCCTTATAAAATAAGCAAAACGGTAAGAAATATAAAATATCAAATATTTTCGGCATAAACTGTGCTATGTTCAACACAACAATTCTTACAGTAACTAGTAAAAAAAAAAAAGTGGCCTTTGTTCTACAGTTATAAAGTGAGAATTAGCAAGAATTTTAATGGGAGGTGGCTGCATCGACCATGGAAGAGACCAGACTCATTGCTGCTGACAAAATTAGGAAATTATAATGGTGCCAATCTGTTGGATAAATTACAGAGACCGCTAACTAGAGGTTTCTATTCTCTGTAATTTGGGAAACTGCCTCCGTCCGAATTAAGGTGGATGGGTTCCAATTTGGAACTCAAACAAATTAGCCTGACTGGCCGTTTAAAATGTCTGCGATAGCCAAGGCAATGCAAAAGAAGGAATCCCCAAATGATTCATGATCCGCTTCCCCTGAATCAATATTATCAAACAGGAAAACAAACAAATTGCATCTCTCCAACTGTTCAATTATTAGAAATGAAAGATTACGACTTATCTCTGGTACAAGCGCTTGCTTCAGTCTACATATTTCTTCTACGGCATGAGGTCCATATCCAGCAGCTAATGATTACAGATTGCTTGAGTTTCATTTGCAAAAGGCAGATGGGATTTACTTACAACTAAAAAAAAAAGTTTGATAAATATACAAATCCTGGAATTTATTTGGGATTCTGAATAAATTTGGCATTTAAATAAATGATAACTTGAAATCAGATGTGCATATTTGGTCTGATTTACAGAATTTACCCAGACGATGATCTATCCAATCAGAGTTATTGATTGTCGAGAATTCAAAGTGAAGGTGAAATCGTTAAACTGAAAACACAGCTGATTGGGAGAAGGTTTCCAGTTCAGCTAGTTTGATGTAAAATTTGAAATTCACTTTTATTATTATTATTGCCATTTATATAGCGCCAACAGATTCCGTAGCGCTTTACAATATTATGAGAGGGGATTTAACTATAAATAGTACAATTACAAATAAACGTACAGGAACAATAGGTTGAAGAGGACCCTGCTTACATTCTATAGGAGGTGGGGTGTAAAACACATTAGGACAGGAATGTGCAATCAAATAAGGTGGGCTGCCCTTTAGGAGAGGGCAAGAGACGGGTATGTGAGGTAGGGGTTAGTCTTGGAGGCCATAAGCTTTCCTAAAGAGATGGGTTTTAAGGCACTTCTTAAAAGATGCAAGACTAGGGGAGAGTCTGATGGCGGAAGGCAGGCTATTCCATAGGAAGGGAGCCGCCCGTGAGAAGTCCTGCAAGCGCGAGTTGGCCGTACGGGTGCGGACAACGGACAGGAGGTGGTCACGGGCAGAGCGGAGAGACCGAGAAGGGATATACCTATGGATCTGTGAGGAGATATAAGAGGGGCTAGAGTTGTTCAGTGCTTTATAGGTGTGAGTTAGTGCCTTGAATTAGCACACAGGAAGCCAATGTAAGGACTGGCAGAGGGGTGAGGTGTGAGAGAACCGACTAGAGAGGAAGATCAGTCTAGCAGCAGTGTTCATTACAGACTGTAGGGGTGCAGTACGGCTTTTGGGAAGACCAAGCAGGAGAGGGTTACAATAATCCATGCGGGAAATAACTAGAGCATGGACAAGCTCCTTGGTAGTATCTGGTGCAAGAAAGGGGCGGATGCGGGCTATGTTTTTAAGATGGAATCTACAGGATTTGGCAACATGCTGGATGTGAGGCTCAAAGGTGAGACCAGAGTCAAGTATGACGCCAAGACAGCGCGCTTGCAAGGATGGGCTGATGTTGGTACCACAGACTTGAAGGGAGAGCGAAAGAGGAGGATCAGTATTAGGAGGAGGAAAGACAAGGAGCTCAGTTTTTGAGAGATTGAGTTTCAGAAAGCGGGAGGACATCCAGTCAGAGATGGAAGAAAGGCAAGCAGTGACACGTTGCAGGACAGCAGGGGAGAGGTCCGGGGAGGAGAGATATAGCTGGGTGTCATCAGCGTACAGGTGGTAGTGGAATCCAAATGAGGTAATAAGTTTGCCAAGAGAGGCAGTATAAAGAGAAAATAGAAGGGGACCAAGGACGGAGCCTTGGGGGACTCCAACCGAGACAGGGCGAGGGGAGGAGGTATCATTAGAAAAAGAGACACTGAATGAGCGTTGGGAAAGATAAGAGGAAAACCATGAGAGGACAGAGTCACAGAGACCAAGCAATTGCAGAGTTTGAAGAAGGAGAGCATGATCAACGGTGTCAAAGGCCAGCAGGGACGATGCCAGAAGAGAGCGAGCAGTTGAAGATGTGTGTTAGAGAAGGCACGAGACAAGTGGAGAGAGATCTGATAAGGTGAGATGGGACAGGATCGAGCGGGCAAGTGGTGGGGAGAGAGGAACAAAGAAGAGCAGCCACCTCTTGGTCAGTGGCTGGGGAGAATGTCTGAAGGGTATGAAAGGATACAGATTCCGTAGCGCTTTACAATATTATGAGAGGGGATTTAACTATAAATAGGACAATTACAAATAAACTTACAGGAACAATAGGTTGAAGAGGACCCTGCTCAATCGAGCTTACATTCTATAGGAGGTGGGGTGATTGAGAAACAGAAAGGCAAGGAGGGGAAAATGCTTTCCTTAGCTGTTCAATTTTGTCAGTGAAGTAACATGCAAAGTTATCAGCAGTAAGGTTGGTTTGGGGGGTGGCCACAGCGAAGAAGAGAATTAAAGGTGTCAAAGAGACGCCTGGGGTTGCGGGAACATGAACTAATGAGAGAGGAAAAATAGGACTGTTTGGCAAGGCCAAGGGCTGCACTGTATGAACACAATATGAATCTATAATGGAGAAAGTCTGACTGGGTGCGAGACTTCCTCCAGGAGCGTTCAGCACAACGGGAGCATCTTTGCAGGTAGCGTGTTGATTTAATACTTTAAGACACATCTTACAATCTCCAAATCTCTTTTTCGGTTTTAATAAATGGCCAGTGAGTTTGGTTGTCACGTTTCCCCCAGACATTCATTGGCAGGGTGTTAGAAGGCACTTGGCCTATGCTAGTGCTTTTAAATTAAGATTTTAAGAAATAAGGACAGCAGCATTTAAGTTGTAATCCCTTATCTCACCACAAGGTGACGATCAAGACAACTTTATGGATTACAGTATTATTTATATAGCACTGTACTATGGGTATGTTCAATAATTAGACTTAAAGGGACATGCATTTTTTTTTTTTTTTAAACATACAAACCAAAATAAAACAAGAAAATCTTTGAAAAGCATATAATAAACATTTATAAACGTGGTCAGATTGCATTATTCGGCAAGCCTCTCAGCTCTTCGGACCCCCTCTTTTCCACCCAGTTCACTACTGAGAAGAGATCTTCAAGCTGCACATGTGCACTTTTCCATCATTCCTGGGGATAGCACACTGATTGGTTAGATCACTGTCCACCCTGTAGTGGATGTGGAAAGTAAAAAAAGGGGGGGAGGGAGGGAGGATTACCTGCTATTGTCATCCTGCAGAGTAAAAGCAACAGTCTCGTTCAAAGCGGAAGCTTTTGAATGAGACAGCTGTCTCGAAGTGATGCATGTCCCTTTAAAGCAGAACAATCCTTACAAAATAAAAACATGCTATAGATACTTGCAATCTTTTTAACATGGGCTCCTGATAGCGACGACTGGAAATACTTTGTCCCGTTGACGTTACAGTTGTGAGTTAAACTATTATCTGTGAAAGAATGCTAAAAGCCATTAACAAAACATCACAAATTTACCAATAAAAACACACCACGAGTTTATAGACATAAACAATACAAAGTCCAATGTTTTAAGCATTAGAAGTGTGGGGTGAAAAAAAATAAAAATGACACTTTGTTGTACAGATTAAATTTCAGTCCACAGCGAGGCTACAAAGAAATCCCTACTTTGGGAATATATTTGCTTTGACGAGACATATCGAAATATTTTAGACAGAAATAAAAGTTTTATTATTCTTCAAGCAAAAAATAGAGATATTACTGACCAAGTAGTGTCACTTTATTTATAAAGTACCTGTCAAAAATAATTAATGCAATAGAAATTCTTCCCATAGCAAGATATACACACACTGTGTCTCAGTTCCCCGAGTTAAGAGTTTTCCAAAAATAGCCCAAGTTCATAAGTAGGTAACAGGATGCAAAGAAGAATGCCAGGAAAGGAACGTCATTCTCAATCAAGCACTACCAGGTTTAGTGAAAACCCAAAGTTAATTTCAAATTTAATGCCAGAGCGGTTGAAGTGAAAGCGTTGCGGCTTTTTTACACCAGGGCTATTTTGACCTTGAATTTGAAACCACTTAGAATTTTCACTTTACTAAATAAACCTGTAACATTTGACACACCAGCTATTAAGAACACTCTGTTAGTGAGAACTCACTCCTTGAAGTGTCCTATGTTCTAATGAATGTGGATCTGCAAATAAAAACCTTTGCCCCTCTTACCATTACAGCACTTAGTCATATACCATGAAACAAGACTCCCACTTACAAGTAGAGCACTTAATCATATACAAACACATGCCTGTCACTGTGACGGTATCCATCTGACTTATCTACTGCTTTTCAAGGAGCAGGTAATGTTTATCTTAATTTTTTATTTCTCTCTTTACACTTTAAAGGGGAACCATCATGAAAAAATAACCTTTGATAGTTTGTAGCATATATTAATATATAATACATTGCATAGTTGTAATGGACATTGCCTTTAGTGTTAAAAATACTGAGATTTTTGGTTAACTGTCTCCCTTTGATGTGATCTGCTTGGATCACTCCAGCAGCCTGATCTGTACAGCTTAGGAGAGTATGCTGACCTGTGTTTGCTTACTGAATTTTTTCCTCAGTAATGTCAGACAGACAGAAGGGTGAATCCATTTATAACATCGCCCATCAAAAATTTATAAATAAATAAAACGGCAGCTAAGATTTCATTGCTTTTGTTTCCCTTTAAAAGTAGTACGTTAGGCATATTCTAAATACTGTAGGTTAAAAATAAAAATTGCATCTAAGACTTTAGATTACTGTGGAATATGACAAAAACCTCCCGCCTTACTTTAAGACTTTCAGAGAGAGTTCTATTATAAGACACGTGTTATAAGGACCCTGATCACTCAGATACATAGAAAGGGTTGAATAACCAATGATTAAGCCTCCAAAGAGGTGGAACAATCTTTACAATAGTCAGAGTTAAAACAAATGAAAAAGACAATCCCAAATTAAATAGATAAAGGAATATATGTATAAAATAAACAAACATTCATTGACATCTACATGTATACTCATTGTAACAAACAATCACTTTACCAATCCCACAAAACACATCGCTTTAAAATCACCCTCAATTTAAACGATTTTATATAATCTAACCCGGGACTCTGCTTCTCCCCGACGACCAGACACTACAGAGAGAGGACAGGTCATCTATGTTCAATCTAAGCAGTTATAGGTTACCCTGCATGGAAAAAGTTGAGAAATATATCTTTAGGGCTTTCGTTGTATATGTATTTCAAACTGTTCTAGTGCTGGAACACTGCTCATACAAGCTTTAAGAGTGCATGCATGACCAGGTCTCCTTTATGCAATTCTAGTTATGTATACACTGCAGTGAGCAGAGAAAAAGCCAGGCAATGTACAGATATCTAGGGTTATTTACAAAAGTGAGAAACATGTATTCCTGACACTATAGGTCTAAATTGCCGTTTAGGTTCTGGCCCCCACTTTGTCTTTGCCTCCCCGCAAGCCCAGCCCCCTTGGCTGAGATCATTAAACTGGATGATCTCAGGCAATGCAATGCTTTCCCATAAAAAAGCATTGGGAGGCTATTGTGCAGGTACAGCACCAATTGGCATTTCCTCCTAGAGATGTACTGAATCAGTGTATCTCTACTAGGAACGTTCAGCGTCTTCATGCAGAGCATGGAGACGCTGAACGTCAGTGCTGCATGACCCAGGAAGCACCTCCAGTGGCCATCAGAGTGACTGTCACTAGGTGTTCCTAGGATGTAATGTTTGGCTGAACAAACAACGTTTACATAAAAAAAAGCCTGCAGGGACTGACTATACTCGCCAGAACACATCCATTAAACTGTAGTTGTTCTGGTGACTATAGTGTCCCTTCCAGGCTAGAGTAGCTGAACTGAAAGCATGGCTAACAGAATTTTTCTAGCTGGACTATTTTGACCTTAAATTTGAAATTCAATGCAATGAATAACCCTGTAAATGTTGTATTCATTGGTGGTTTGGATATGGGTCTGTTTAGTGACATACATACACCCCGAATGCTTTCACCCCATAAATTATATATGCAGCTGCCCCTGTAGCATACTGGGATTCAGTGCAAGCAATGCAGGATAGCATAGCTGGGTTTTAGATCTGTGCTGAAGGCATAGAAATTAGGTACTTTAAAGTGACACATTTTTTTTGCACTTATACAGTTGCCTGCAATTTGTCAATCCCAATCTGTAGATCAAATGTGATGGTCTTTACATGGCCAACTGTGAATTCAAACCATCCCCTAAAATAGATTTTAGTCAATAGAACATAAAAACAATCTATGTTATTCTTTGTTAAAACACGTTTGTATTTAAACTACCCAACCCCTGTGCTAAGAACCTATTTCCCAGAACGCATGTAAACTTGTGACATCCTGCCTAAATCTTGGCTTAACTACCACTACAGGAAACAAAAAGGAAGCTTGCTTTGCATAAATACCCAGAATAGAATGACTTTCAGATTTCTTACAAAGTATCAGTCACTGCATCCGACGAGGTCACCAAAACACCCTGTTCTTTACTTTAAATCACTAAAATATATTCTTTAAGGCCATATTTGGTACAAGCTACAGTTTGTATATTCGTGCACAGCGACAATCACCTTTCATCTCTCAAACTAGCGCCAACGCTCCCTGAATAAAACCTCACATTATCTTATCCTAAATATCCTTGCTCTCAATGATCATACCCAAACCGCAGCGCCTGGGCGCAGATGGGGTGCTTGATTGTGGATTTCAGAAACTGAAAAACCTGCACACAAACCACTTCCTTGTTGGTGCTAAACAAAAAGCATACCTGACGTTATCATACTCTTTATATTTATTTTTGGGCAGTCGGTCTGTCTTCCTCCACTAAACAGGAATCACTAGGAGAGATCTCTGGGTAAACAATATACCAATGTTCCCAGGCATGAAGCCTGGACTAGGGCAAATGTACAGCCATGCTGTAACCAGAGAGACCTATTTTGAACCCAAAGTGAGATATATAGATATATTATTATTATTATTATTTATTTTAAGACAAGGCACATCTGTAGAGCTTTCCACAGACCTAGATAACACAGCCTGGGGTCTAACGTATCATTGAGGGTTATGTACAACTTGCAAATCAGGGGAAAGTTCTACAACGGAAGCAGTCACCATGGAAACTAAAGTTCCAGCCAATTGCTTCATTTAATACCCAAGCTTTCACTAGTTTCTATCTATATGTCCTGGAGTCTAGATGTTACAATTACCCAACTTAATGGCACTAATTTTATTGACCTTGGAAAGATGGAAGGCTGAGTTGAATGTAGTCTGTGACAAATGGGATTTGGCAGATGTAGCACTTTCCACTGAGCTATCTCAAAGGCCTACTTATTTTGCAAACTTTAACCTAGAATTACTGGTAATTCATATCCCTGTCCTCCCATTATGTAAAACATCATGTACTTGAATTCAGGTAGATATAGTGGCTGCAGGGGCTTCCTCCCCCAAGAGACGCAGTAATGCTGGATAACTGGCACTGCATGCAGAATTTGTGGTACATTTCCAACCACTACATGCATTCAAACTACATATGGGAATCTCTTGTCTTCCCACTAACCATCTAAATTGATGCAAACGCCTGGAAAATGAACACACAGGTCTCAGGAATTAAAAAGGTGTCCTTTGCATTAAAAAAAAGCTACATTTGCTTTGCTTTAAAAAAAAATACACAATTTTGCTCTCCGAGGGACAAGCTGTGACTTGTTTTGATGACTCTCCCTTCTGCCATAGCACTAGGTTACAAAATCTTGCTCTATTCCTGCTTGACGTCTTCTTCAGATAAGCCGAAGTTGTCTGGGATTTTGAATTCATCTTCTGTCGACACATTC